GTGAATACTTAGGATATTAACTGAATTCTTTTTACTGCCTACAGATGGCATGATGTAGAATGCTTTGACATTTTTTCAGAAAAATATGTGAAGATCGAAAAAGGAAGAAAAATTGCGATAATTTTAAAATATTAAATATTTGATTTAGAAACTCCAGCTTCAGCTTTTCCACGATCCTAAGAATTTTTAAAATGTACATATCACAATTATAAGGTTAAAAACAATTTCAAAACAGAACACAATTTCAACAAAAATAATATTTGGAATAATAAAATGCAGCACTTATAAGTTACTTGTTTATGTTTTAGCTGGAGTTCTTGGATTAAATTTTGAACCATAGTATCTTCCAATTCAAATAATTAAGTTTAAATAAACAATATTTATGAAATATAAACGTGCTTAAAAAATGTTTGTCTCAACAGTGTTCTACATTAATGAATAAGTTTAATAGATATTTTGAATAATTAATTGTCTATTGTGTGAATTAATTTTATTAAAGATATTAATATTAATTAATTAAATATTAATAATTGCTACGAGCTATATGCCCTACCTATCTTCACCTCCGTGCCTTTATATCATGGGATATTAACTGACCAGTTTCTGTAAGCAGTTCTTTATTGGTCTTTCCTCTCCATGTGTTAGTACTCTGAACCAAGACCGCTCCGATTATCGCACGGAGGATTCTTCTCTCAAATCTTTCAACACTTTATTTTAGGGTGCTGGTTAGTGTCTAGGTCTCACAGCCATATAATAGAACTGGCTTTATCATAGCATTGTAAACACTTAATTTGAGATTTTAATATTTTTGAAATGAAGAAGAAAGCTTTGCTTGCGCTAGTCTATTTCTGCCCATGGGTCATCCATTGAGGTTATTGAGGAGCCAAGGAATTTGAATTTTTCTACTCTCGGGAATATGATTTTCCTTCTACGCAGATCTTGTTATTGGGATGGAATTTTGCCTTATTATCATGTATTTTGTTTTGTCTTCAATTACTTGTAGGCCGATCTGCTCTGCCTCTCTTATCAGAGTTGTAGCGAGTTTCTTCATATCCTCTTGATTACTTCCAAAGACAACCATTAATTCCACGGTTCATTATAAGTAATGTTAAGGACGTAAATTCAAATAGGTTTAAACACCATATAGCAGTGTTCGGAAAACATGGAAAAAGAACCTTTTTTATATTTTAATAAATCATATTTTTAATATAATTCATTGACTAACCTATTTATATACTACCTCATATACATTGAGATGTAAATAAGGTATGTAATTAGTAAGCATTTTAATTAATGAGAACCTATGCCGATGAAACGTGTATCCTATCAGTTAACAACGATCCATCAATTGCATCCCAAACTCTCCAATCACACATCATAAATCTTGAAGAATGGTGTCAAAACTGGAGGATTAAAATAAACTCCAATAAATCCCATCAAATTACCTTTACCCTGCATCGCAAACCTATGACCTCCTGTCCTACAGTATTCTTTAACAATTCCCCACTTATCCCAGTTGAACAAATCCGTTACCTAGGACTCCACCTCGACAAACGACACATGGAATCCTCATACAAGACTGAAACGACCAGAAACTGCTCGAAGTTTCCGACTACTCCAACACTTACTAGACAAACTCTAAGCTTTCACTCAATTACAAACGACTCATATATATGACAATAATAAGACCTATTTGGACTTACGGAATTGAGCTCTGGGGCTCCACTAAACCATCAAATTCCTCTCGTATCCAATCCTTACAATCCAAAATCCTTCGTAAAATCCTCAACGTTCTTTACTTTGTCACAAACAAAATCATCCATAAAGACCTTAATGTTCCATATGTTTCCGATTTGGCCCAATCCAGATACCTATCCTTCCATAACAAACTGCAGAACCATCCGAACCCTCTTGTTTCAAACATTGCATCCTCCTCTATCCCTGATAACCCTCCGAGGCGTCTGAAAAGAAGATGGCCTCGGGATCTTCTAATATAGAACTTTAATTTGAGTTCTACCAATGGGTAGTTTCTCTTCATATTTTACATGTCATGTTACCAATGTCACATTTACCTGTTGTATTTGTAATGTAATACAGTTGTAAATTTCATTAAAATTAACAAAAAAAAAATTAATGAGAACAATTTAATTGCATTCCTATTAAAAAGTTTCATATTTGGTGCTTATATCAGCTTTATTTTTAAGATCTGCAAATGAGTTCCTTAGACATATCCTAAAACTTCTTTTAAAGTACTCAGAAGCTGTAAAAGGTTTTCCATTCCCAGTGGCTACCTCGGCTCGCCACGAAACTGATAATATTAACATTATTAACTGATTGTAACCAACTAATAAATGTAGTAGTCGGCTTTTCAAACTTTTTCTAAGTCCTTCTCCTACTTTCTTTCACCAAGGGATATGTTGTATAAAATATTTTTTACGTATCCTTTTGATTTGGTTTACTCCATAAACTTTCGAATCGAATGAGTCTGCTAATGAAGAGTTCTGTTACCTTGGCATAGTTTTTAGATTTAGTGAATATTACAAATAATACTTCTGCCAGCAAAGAAATATTTTAAAAAATCATATGATCAAAGATATATAATTAATATCTTCAAAGAGCCACGGTATGCCGACCATAAACATAATAAAGTTGATTGGAAGAGAATCATGTAAGTAAAAAAGTTTTCAACAATGGGATAGTTAGCCACAAGTTTATATGGTATCAATACACTGAATAAACTCAACACCCATTTCAAAAAAAAAAAAACAGCTGTGACAGAAAAATAGGCGATGAGGTCAACTATATTAAGTAAATAAATATAATATAACTAATATTAAGGGATATGAAGAAGGTAGTTTTAGAACAAATAATATAGAATTCATTAATTTGTGTGCACACTATATATAAAAACATCAGTTAAACGAACGGACACAAACATGCAACTGAGTTTAAAAACACCATCACCATCAAACTTCAAGATAGAATACGTAAACTCAATAAAGCTTAAATACTTGAACAAAGCTTATTCAATACTATCTAAGCTGTCTTTAAAAAAAAAAAAAAAAAATCTCTAGTAATTATAAATTGTCATTTAAGTTGTGATATCTCATGAATTTGATACAATATACCATAGGTGAGGAACCTATGGTCTGTAGGCCACATGTGGCCTCCAAAGGTTTTTGCACGATATTTATTAATCTGTCACTAGTATTAAATTGAATATATGAATGATCATATATCAAAGATATCTGTTATTTATTTATATATATTTTTTAAGGCAAGTTTAAGTTAAACTTCAATTTTAAACCAATTCTAATGATTTTTTTTTTTTTTTCATGATTCAACATTCTTTTTATTGTCTTCCACTTCCTCCCTTTAAGGCTACATCGGGTTTTCCTGGGCCAAGGGATGAGGGCGGGAATTAATGCCAGAGTTAAAAGTCATCTGGCGCTGGGATGCGAACTTGTAAATATTTTATCGGTGCAGTGCACTCACGACAGCCCCACTCTGCCACTATATCCCATAGTAGAAGAACATTCTTAAATAAAATTATCAGCATTTGATTAGTTTGACAACGGTTTGAGTAGAACCTATAAAATAAAGTGAGAAGGAGTTAATTGGGGGTGTGGTCAAACAAATACTAAATTAAAACATAGTAATTATTTAATTTTTGCTGACATTTCGACCCACTTTGCAGGTCGTCTTCAGGGCGTAGGATGTAACACCGCAGTGCTATATCCTACGCCCTGAAGACGACCTGCAAAGTGGGTCGAAAGGTCGGCAAAAATTAAATAATTACTATATTTTAATTTAGTATTTATTTGACCGCACCCCCCAATTAACTTCTCATATTATATCAACGGTCAACCATCTCTACATCACTATAAAATAAAGAATGACTTTTTCCACTTTCTGAAAATGACAGATCTCTGTCTTTGATAAAAGGCCACTTATATGCATATGCGTGATACAAAGTTGGTAATATTACTTTACAAGATGGTATAAGTAGTCGACTGATCAATTATAAGAATGAAACAAAATTGTAGATGAATAGTAAATGACTTCGCAATAGGGTATTTCAGCGGGTGGCCGAGGGTAAGAGAAGAAGAGGAAGGCCTCATGTCAGGTGGAGAGATGTTGTGGCTGAGAGTATGGCGGGCTGAGGGATGACGGAAGAAGAAACGATGGACAGACAGAAGTGGAGAAACCGACTGAGGGAAACTTCAATTTATGAAGAAAACACATTAAATAAAAAAAAAATTGTCAAGATATTTTTATTGGGTCGAAACATCGGCTAACCCAATACAAATACCTTGACTCAAATTTCTGACAGTTTCTTTTCATCCTGGTAATATTACATTTAACTTATCTAATTACTGGTTATATAGTCATATGTTTGACACATATTTTAAATTATATTATATTGGTATTCTCCAAATTATCCAAAACTTTCGCAAGAATATTTTTAATAACATTTATGAAAAGAAATATTATTTTTTATATATTGTTAACTTGTTATTAAATAATATTTTAATTTATAAGAACATAAGCAATAAGTTTTACATATTAAAATTATTCTTTATTATTATTATTATTATTAACAATAACAACCAATGAAAAATCTAGAATTAACACAAACAAATTGGTACCTACTACTTGTCCATTAATCTCCATAAGTCCCCAACAAGTAAAAAAGTTGGATATTTCTAATCTAGAAATCTTATCAATATAAATTAAAATGAAAACATTCACAGAATAGAATAAGGAGAAAAGATAATCATCACTACTACATAAAGTAACTACATTAAAATACAATAAACAAGATAGACCGCCATACATTCCATTATAAATTCTGAAAAGAAAATACAAAAAAGAAAACCAACCAAAACTATAAAAAAAAAAAAATTAAAACACAAAGAGCATAATTGTTAGTTAGTAAGCAGGCAGTCAGTAAAAAAAACATGCAAAATTAATGATACCAGAGGAATAAAAATAATACAGTTTTGAAACTAATGATTTAATTTCATAATACTTATTACATATTTGAAATAACATACACAAAAAAAATCTATAAAATTTTATAATTTATTTTAATAAAGGCACATAAATACCTGGAATGCATACATTTTATGGGCATCACATAATATAAGACAAAATTCTTACAAACATTTTACAGTAAATAAATAAGTTGACAATTATTCAATTAATACTCCTTTTTAAATACATTATCAACAAGTTTGAAATGATAGCTACTAAAATACTAATAGGACGGTATTTAAATAAGTTTTTTTTTCTCTCTTATTAAGTAACATCCGAAAAAGGAAATAGAAACTTACAAGCAAATAATTCGGAAGCCATAGTAAATTTTTTTAAATTAATAAATACAATCAAATGATATAACAAATTATGTTAAGTAGTATCTATAATAAAATCATAAGTGCTTTGATTATAACATTTGCTAAAATGATTTAAATCATTTACAATGATAAAAATTATTTAGCGAAACATAACAAAGAACACTTCAGACTTATTAAAGCTCTCTCCAACCAAGAATATCTTTGTTTAAACCTTTAATGTCCAGTTTATGACATTCACAGCCACTGTTTTTGTTATTTTTTATAATTTCCATTAGAAAAAAATAAAATCGAATAGACCTGATTAAGTAGATAAAAAATACAGATAAGTGGATCTAAAATATTGAAAAGAAGTCACGAAAAATAATATAAAATAACCAATCTTCTAGGAAGAAGGAATAACATAACTAATATAATAAAATAATATACTAATAAAATATATAAAAAATGTATATAATAAATTCACTCTTATCAGAAAAATATATATATTCTTTAAAACTTTTTTAGTTTCTCAGGCTTTAAAAAAAATATATTATTAAAAATTTAGTATAATTAATTGATGATTGCTGTTATTAATTTTTATTTTGTATACAGAATCCTGTGATGATGAGGGGAAATCTAGTGTTAATATACCAAGTGGACTTCGTAAACTTGCTATTAGAGGAATCAAGGGGCTTTAATAAATTAGAGCAAACTTTGATTATTTTCATTAACCTAAATTAATAATCTATTATCAGCAAGGAAATGAAATATGATTAATTTCAACATATTTTTTTTAAACCACAAAAGGTAATTAGTGAAATTTTAAAAACTACTATAAACAAGCTATAATATTAAAAATACCTTTGTTTGGTGATGTAAAACATATAAAGGAATGAAAAAATATTTAAATTCAAATTTCGCTTTAGAAATGATATTTAAATATTTACAATTTTTTATTTTTCACTTACTTAAATTTCAGATAGCTGCAATAATTGCAATTAAAAAAAACCAAGACAATATTTTCTTTGGATTAAAGGACTTGAATTAACTTTGGTAGAAGAATATAATTTTAATAAGAACTCCCTAAGAGTTTGTAATTGTACTTTCAACAGGGAGAGTAGGTAACGAAGTTGGAGAAACAGGGTTAACAATAAGATCACAACTTGATTACACAGTCAAATGTGTAAGTTACAGCTGAATTATAAGTATCTTTGTTCTTTCACTACTTAAAAGTTGTGCAACTAATAAAGTGACATATATCAAAGTACAATTGACTTCCTTTTAAAGTTTCTCATCTGACTTTATTATTTAGTTGTTCTGAAAAACTACAATACAATAGCTAATCTTCCCCCTCTTATACATCAAAATTTTACATAAAATATCTACATCAAACAAAAGAACAAATTTTCAAAATTTTTAATAAATAAATTTTTAAAAAATATTTTAAACCATGGCAACATCAGGCAATTGAAATTCAGGAAAGAAATCAATAATAAACAACTTATAGAAAATTTGAAAAAGTGTATTTAAGAACCCTTTTCCGAATGAAGTGATATTTGTATTTCAATATAGGAACTTATTAATGCCTAGGCAGAAGGAATCTATTGTACTTAGATAATATATTTTTATTTTAAATAAAACTCTGATTTCTACAAAGATATTCAAGGTTTCTTTTTCTACAAAAATATATCCATATTCAATCAAGTAAGACAAGTATTCCTGGTACACATTTAACAAAAATAATATTAAATAAAAAAAAAAACATGGTTGCACAAAAACGCAAAAAAAAAACACTAATAGAAAATATAGCTGATAAAAATAGGAACTAATTATTTAGGCAGAAATAATAAAATCCTTCACTAATACATGCATATTCCTTGGTTTAATAATACTACAGTTCTATTAATAACAATAAACAACAAAACCGACTACAAGATGCAATCATTTATTGCACCTTCACAGTTTATAAACAAATCATAAAGACTTGAAATCAAAGAGGCGATATATGTAAAAACTTGAGCAAGTGTTATAAGTTCTTGTTGTCAAACAGAATTAAACTTAAAGGATCTCCTTCATTATCATCAAGGATCTCATCATTATGACGAGTGTTCTTCATTTTGTACTACATTAATTATGTAAACATTAATGATAAGGCATTCTCATGGTTATTTTATTATCAAGTCTTTAATGATTTAAAATAATTACAGACATTTATAGATAAACAATTTAAAAGCACTCACGATCATTCATTTGCTACTTCTAATTTTTATAGCTCCAAAAAAAAAAAATAAATAAAAAAAAAAATAAATAACTAAAAAATTTTGAAAGGGAAAGCTTTTTTAAGAAAAGAAAAAAAATGAGATGAAAATATACCTAAACACGATAAAATAAATTGTCTTTAAAAAAATATGTCATGTAATGATTCCAAAATATTGTCATCATCATGCTAAATATATATAAATATTTTTATTTCTCTTATAAAAATATTAAATTTCAACAATCTATTTAAAAATTGGTATATAATGCGTACAAAAAAGTTATGTACACATACAGCATACATAATTTTAGAGATGAAAGTGTAAGTTTTTAAATTTTAATAATAATTATTTTTTTTTAAATAAAACAAAGTGACAAGATAAGGGAGCATGCAACAATGTTCTTTTACGTGGGCCATGCCTTCACAACAGCTATTGGGGAGTCGTTTGCCTCTAGGTTGGTAACGCTTACTCTAGTTAGCGCTGTCTCTGAGGGGTCCTCGATTTCTTTTCGCCTTGCAGCCTTTTCGTATCTCGCACGCTTCTCTCGATTCATGTCAGCCCCTAGACACCCATATTAACAACCTACATATCACTAGAGTCAACTGTTTAAATAAATTATTAAATGCAGTAATTAAAATGTATTGACAACCAATTCGGTCCAAAATTATCTATTTTCTGGCACATTCAGATAGATAAGGAAGTTTTTAATGTTGTATATGCTTTTAGTTTTTTTTTAAAATGATGTTTATGTTTAATTTGTAAATCATGTGTAATATTGAAAGAAATGTTCCATTTTATACCACTGATAAAGGTATGATATTCTGATAACTCAACTGTCATTTTTACCAGGTGTGAAAATATAAAACGGAAATTCTATCGTAGATATGGTTCTAGTTTTTAATGCAGTTACCATTAAACCACATTTTGTTTTTTCCACAGTCGACTGGCTATATAATTTTCATTTAACAGCATCAGTTTAATAGTGTTGAACATGTTGATTTTTGTGCCCAAAGATTATGATTTGCAGACAGCATGATGGTCTTGGTAAATTACAATCCTTTGAGTGGTTTAGAAAATTCAAAAGATTACAACATGAGAAATATAGAATGCGAAAGATCAACAAAAAAGTTTGCAAGTATTGCTGGATGGAGAAGATGCTCAAACACAACAGCTAGCAGATGAATTCAATGCAACATGAGAAATGTATCCATACATTTGAAAGCCATTGCAAAGATCTAGAAGATGGGGAAATGGATTCCACATGAACTGAATGAAAGACAGCAAGGCAACCAGAAAACCATCTCCAGAGAATGATGTACACAGGCATAAAAGAAATTCATTTCTCCACTTAATTGTGGCAGGTGATGAAAAGTGGACATATTTTGATAATCCATGTCAAAGATCAAGTAAAACTTCAGACAAACCACCAACATCGATTGCAAGGACAAGTGGCTTTGCAAAGAAGACAATGCTTTTTCTGTATGGTAGGATCAGAAGGATGTGACCTATTATCAGCTGTGAAAACCTGGTGAGACCATTAATAATTAACTCAATCAACAACTAATCATTTGAATCGAGTATTACACAAAAAACAGTCATAATTTAAAACAAGAGACAACACAAAGTGATAAGTGCTTCATGATAATCCACCATCACACACAGTAAAATTAGTGAAGGGTACGATTGAGGCTTTTAGTAGGGAAATGCTAGCACATGCGGCTTACTCACCACAGTTGTCTTCTTACGACTATAACTTATTTGTATCAATCGTACACTTACCTACTCAGTTCACTTCTTATGAAAATGTACAAAAATGGTTTGAAGACTAGTTTGCCACAGAAGAGCAACAGTTTTACAGGCATGGCATTCATTAATTAATTGGCAGAGAGATGAGAAAAATGTAAAGCTAGCGATGGACAATATTTTGTAACATTTTTATGTACTAAACATGGATTTTCTAAACGAAAATTCCAGTTTTATATGTACACACCTGGTATATATTGTGGGATATTGTTGTTTATCATTACAAAAATAATGTAATTATCCAGGGAGGCCTCATTAAAATTTTAGATCAAGTGGTAAAAGAGGCTTCCAATCAATTTTAATACTAGATGATTTTTCAGGAAGCATTTCCCAGATTCAGTACTAAAATAATTATTATAAAGGAAAAAATATTCTTAAACATATTTAATAAAAACAATTTTTATGATAAAATTTAAATTATATCATAATTGTTCTGTAAGAAGAGTGAATTCTGTTCACAAAGTTTCAACATAACATATTTGTGAAAACCTTTTAGAAAATGGTGTAGTTTTCACTGTTAAATGGAAAATCTTCAAGATGTTCAAAAATGCAAGTTCATGTCATGAAACTAAAAATTTCTAATTGGTTTTTTTACTGAATACCCGAGATATAAACTATTAAATATATATTTCTTGGTGGATTTCAAAGAGGTTCATCTATATTATAAGAAAATGCATACACATTCAAATATTACAATTAGTGTAGAATATGCTAATAATAATTTTTAATAATAAAAATGAAAATTTTAATAACTGTGATTTGAATAAAATACAGAGTGGTGCAAAATGAAACAGCCTCTCTTAAAATAAACTAAACTTCTAAGATTCTTCACATATTGTTTTTAAACTTTTTATTTATGTTTAATATATATATATATATATATATATATATATATATATATATATATATTTTATATATATATATATATATAAATTCTGTAGTATATCCCATTTCATTGTAAAAAAATATTGTTCAAATCACTTCTGAAATGGATGATACTCAGTATTGGAGGGAGTTTAGTGACCACCACTAGACGTCTGTGAACCAATCACAGCGCCCAGCAGTCTAATAATAATAATAATAATAATAGCGCAATGGAACATTGAATACAGTGTATGTGCTGCTTCGCTATTCATATAGAAACACATTCATATGAAAAAAATTGTTGTGAAAGTGAAGAACTTGGAAGAGAGAATTTTGATAAGCTTACCTGAAGAAGGGTACCAATTATCAGTTTTTTTTTTTTGACAAAATTGGATAAACTATCACTGCAACTAGTCAACTAGTCAAACAGTGAACAATCAAAGAAGCTTTATTTATTTCGAAAGCGACCACTCTTATTGAGCGACACTTTAAACAGCACATTATTAATAAAACTAATAAAAGCGACAAGTATAATATGCACATCATTACATCTTGTTAACTTATCAAAACTTCAGTAAATCTAATCCTCTGGTATTAATGTCAATCAGATTTTCTTCTTCTAAAGTATAAATTTTAATTATGTGATCTAAGATTATATACAATATTAAAGTAATACTAATAGTTATTGGAACATAAGCAATTTCAAAAGCTTACCCCTAAAAACACAAGCTAGATTAATAAATTTAATTAATAAAGCAACCACAAATTTTCATCCATGTTAATAAAATTATTTATTTCTTTATAATAAATTAACTGACTATGACAAATCATTAACCGGGCAAACATAAAACCAAGACTAAATTGGAATAGCAGTTAAAGCAGAGAATATAACATAAATCAACAGGACATTGCAGCAACGACAAAACAACTGACTAAAGATTTACAACCCTATGAAAATGTATTGTTAAATTATTATGAATTTACAAAAAAAATGTGAATAAAGAGTAATTATTTACATGAAGAGAATTTTTAAATATTTTAATATACTGTAAACCTAACTTTATCGGTAGAGAAATCATTAATCACAGTTTGTTTAATGATTAACAATTAATATATCTGTTGAATAAATAATTTATATTATGCATGCTTATCAATAGAGGATAGAGTGGTCTATTTCCTTCCGACACTGAACAAATCATATTCAAATCCCCTTGGTTTGCACACACTAAATCTTCTCTGGACAGAAAATCGGTAATATCGGGATAGGTAAGTCGGTCTGAGAGACAATTAATATCACTGAATCCTATTTTAGCTGATTTGGGAAAATTCTACATAATCTATAGAAAAAACACTTTTTTGGGTATTGCCGTTAAGGGGATTTGATACACAGGCATTGAGAAAAAAAATAAAAATAAAGCAAATAGAATAGGTCCAACCGTTCAAGAGATTATCGTGGCCATAAATGTGTTTTTGGAATCAAAGTACTCTGAAACAGGCTCATTGAAAACTGGATATAAAAAACTTAACCTAATTTCAAGACTTTCCTTATTAGTAAAAATAATATAAAAATTTATATTGTACATAAATAGCAAGTTTTTAAAAGTTTACAATATTAATTAAAAAAAATATAAGTGACTAACAGGGTCCTAGATATATTGTCTCCTGCATTAGAGCATAAACTATCAGTTCATTATATTTACTTAGTGTTCATTATGTTTACATAGACAATACATAAAAAGTCAAACATTAGCTACATAATATGAGAAATGTTAATCATGAAGGAAGAACTTAAAAAGAAAAACACAAAAGAAAGAAGAAAAAATTATAAGTAAAATTGTATTTTTTATATATATATATATATATATATATATATATATATATATATATATATATATATATATATATATATATATATATATATTAAAAAGTAACTCAGAAAATGAAGAGGTGTTAAGAGTAGTTTTTCCGTCCAAACAGCTCAGATAATATACAGTACGTAATTAATAAATCTGGTAGGTATACTTTAAGATATAAATAGAAGATATGTATAAATATTCAAAGTTAGTAAATAGAAGGCACTGGTGATGGTACTTAAGATTAAATCACAAATACTTTTACTACATGACTATGTGACAAAATATTATAATGATTATTATATCATGAAAAAAAAAAAATATGTTTTTGTTTTTTGTTAATAGATAAAATCACCACAGTTATAAGCCCTTTTATACATGAGTTATACAACATCTACTAAGATCATTTTTATTTCAAGGGGACAATTGTTGTTTTTTCCGTGATTTATATGAGTTTTTTTTAAATAAATGGCACTTTTAAATCCGGGTCATTAGAGTGATTTATTTTATTGTTTATTTACTTCTGTATATTTCATGTCCTAGAACTTACTAAACTGAGTTAATGTAGTTCATTAATGATTAATTTAAAAATTGTTTGATGTCACTTAAGTACTCAATAATTCTTTGAAATTATTAACTGTATTAGTCCAATATTGTGGGAGAAAAATTGTCTAAAATGCATTTTAAAGAATTAAGTTGCGTCCGTGACTTAATTCATTATCAAAGATAGAAGGAGTTAATGTCTTTCTTGGTTTAATAAAATCAATTAAAAATAAAGGAATGGAACTTCTTAGAACTTTCTTTTTCCCAAGAAGTTGTAAACTCTTCAAATTTCGCAAGTGCCACTTTATACAAAAATGACCCAAATACATACTGCTCGAAAATTCACAAATACAAATAAAAATTATTTTTTAGAAATTCCGAAGAAAAGATAATTAAAATACAATTTTATATCGGTTGGAAAATAAATATCCTTATATAGCTGTACTTAAGAGCCCCCTTTCACTCATTTAATAAATGGATGTAATAATACATAAACTATTATAAAAGAAATGATTCATTACATGTACTACTTTTTTCCAAGGGAATGGAGTCAAGGTAAGGGAAGGTGAGGATTCTCTATTCAAATATTTTTCAATAATTCATTCTTGATAACTCCGCCAGAGTCCTATAATGGTAAAAATAACTTTATAACTTTTTTTTTTTTTTTTAAATCTATTTATTGAATAATAATACAATCAGACATTGCTGGAGGGCTATAAGCAAATAACTTTTTAGAGATAAAAAATAATGCTGCTTTAAATTTAACTAATCTTGAAAATATGAAAGAAAAAAAAAATCAACTATTCAGCATTTGATTAACTATTTTTTTCTTTGCCCTAGCAGAAGCAAAAAAAGAATAATGTATCATTCATATATCCCATCCCATATTTTTAAAAAACAAATTAATTAGTGAAAAAGAAATGTTAATTGCCCAATGCCACATTGATTCAGTTTTATCATTTAATTTAAATATTAATATTCTAATATTTTCCTATTTGCTTCAGAATGAAAATAATTTACCAACAAGAGAGGTTTTGCATGAGCATCATAATGCTTCTGTATATTTCCATAGAAAGGAATAAGCATTAGTCATATAATTATTATTAAAATTTTAAGTTATTTTTTTTGTTATTATTAACAAAAATATTAATTATTCAATTTTAATTCTAATATATATTGGTATTTTAAGGATCTCTCAGAAACTGATATTTAAAGAGATAGAGGAAAATAAAAGCTTTCTAAAATATATAATAAAATTTAATCGCTTTCTTATTTGAGATGTCTTGTATGTTTAGTATTTTTATTTTAATTTTTTAGAATTGACTTTTCATAAATAAGTTATGAAATTTATAAATAGAAGAATGTGAGAATTTTTTTTTACAATAATTATGTAAAAAATAATATTACATAGATGATATGATAGTTATGTAAGTAAGAGATATCATTCATTAATTTGATATTTTGGGAATTTCCGTTGATTGTTATTTATGTGCTGTTATATCTTTTACATACATATTTTTAATTATTGTGTTATAATATTATAGATAAATTTTTCAACTTGAAAATGAGCAACGTCGCCGAGAAAATTAAAATGAATTGAGTTGAGGTATAAGGTTGAAATAAATAGATTTTTATCAAAATTATGAATGCCCTTGAAAATTTAGGAGATTTATTATAAAAGCTTTCTTATATGCCAATGAACAGAAATGATTATTTATTTTATTTTTACTAAGCTCTTTTTTCACAAAATTGATTTAATAATTGAGGTACTGATATATTTATTTTCATAACACTACAGTTTTAAATTAATTAATTTTGTATTCCTAAACTTAAGAGAAAAATACCTAAAGATTCTTTATAACATTTCAAAACTTACATTTAACAAAAAAGAAGTAATTAATTTTAAAAGGCTATAGCAGTCATAATAAACGTTTTTAATATATTACGTAATGTTCTTTGAAAGTTGGGTAATATGGCAACAGTAATGAATGGGTTATATTCTTCAATCAATCATAACTTTAAATAAATAGCTTAAATTTCAAGTTTCATTGAAGAAAAAAAAATTCCTTAGTTTAGGAGAATGAGGGGATTAGATTTAGGAACAATTAAAAAAACATTTTTAAAACTTGTTAAAATTCAGCAAATCATAAAACTAACAAATTTTGTAAGATATTAAAAACAAATGTTTCAAATGGTGTAACTTTTAATTTAATTTAAAAGACGTTTTAAATAGGGCTTAATATTAGACTTAGATTTAGGCCATGGTCACATTTCAGCAAACTATAAGTATCACACTTATGATGTGTATTCTTCCTCGACCATGGCCCTATTAATTATTAACTTTTACTGTCTTAGATCACTGGAGAAGTAAAAATTAACAATTTCTATCAAATTAGTTCTAAATAGTATAAGCAGTTTAACAGAAGAACACATGAGATAAAGATTATAGATCCACTGATTACAATAATAATTAATTATAGAAAAATTTTCATACTTCAGAAAGAACATTTGGTATAATTCAGTACATGCCTAGACAAATGGAGTATATATTGTTACAAATATAAAATGAATTAAATGAACTTACCAATATAACTTAATAAAACTGGCAAGAAAACCAATCCATGGGCTGCTCCAAATATAACTATCCCCATGTACATTCTGAAATAAAATACTTGGAATATTTGTGAGTTGGCAAACCCTAAAACTAGGATTCCTCCGAACTTGGTAAGGGTGATTCCGGAGAACACCTGCAATAAAAATAAAATATATTAATAAATAAAACTATCATTTGTTTTAAAACAGAATTTGTTTTCTTAAATAAATAAGTAAATCTAATTTTAATCAATAAATCTAATTTATAAGAAAAAAAAAGAATGGGGAAGGACAATAACACATTCCTTATTATTTTTTTTTTAAGATGAGAAGGGGTTAGTCGAGGGTGTGGTCAAATAAATAATAAATTAAAATATATTAATTATTTTAATTTTTGCCGACGTTTCGACCCACTTTGCAGGTCGTCTTCAGGGCTACAAAAGATGCAAAACATGTTGAAAATAAAAAAAAAAAATTAAAAAAATATAAAAAAAAATTATTTTTTTATTTTCAACATCTTTTGTATCTTTTGTAGCCCTGAAGACGACCTGAAACGTGGGTCTAAACGTCGGCAAAAATTAAAATAATTAATATATTTTAATTTATTATTTATTTGACCGCACCCTCGACTAACTCCTCATATTATAACAACGGTCAACCATCTCTACATCATTTTTTTTTAAATTTATACTACATTATTTTCCCACACACTGATTTTTACCAAATATATCCTATTTGCTCGAATAAAATAAAATGGATGTTTGACCCACTAGCAGTACCAGGATTTTATTTTTGTGGGAGCTTCAGCCTGAAAGTTTTATTTTTTTATGTATATAACAATAATTACTACGAAAAAAAAAAAAAAGAAAGATACTAACTACCTATATGAAATTGTGTTTAAGTGATTCTTGAAGCCCTATTAAATGTAATTACAAGAACAATAATACTTTAAGAAATAATTTTCAATATTTTTTTTTTATAAATCATGGTTACATTTTACCATTTTGTGGGAGGAGCTTCGGCATGAAATCCCTCCTCCCCTCCGATCCGCCTGTATTTTGGCCTATATTCGAGATCAACAATTATTCTGATTCGATCTAGGAAAATTTGAGTTTGAACCAATTTGGGCTTATATAAGTCACTTCATAGTGACTATTTTCTAATTTTGTTATGGAATACTTAGTAAAGTTAATATTAATAAGTCATTGCTCATTCACATATCACACAGATGTTTATACTCCAAATACATTAATCAATACTCCCATTTCTCTCACAAATTTGGAGAAAAAAAATTATATAAAAAAATTTGTTTAAATCAGAGATGATACATACATTCAATTCAAATACTATAGCAATATTATTCAAATAATCATGTTAATATTTTATTGAGGTATAAATATCAAAGTTGGCAATTAAGTTTTTATAAGTATTTTGATTTTTCCTCTTCCATTTTTATCTCTAAAAATTATTCACAAAATAGGGATAAACTTATATTTGGGGTCAACCCATATTGAGCAAATACGGTATATAATATTAAATAAAAAACGATTTTATCTATCTATTGCTTGTTTAAAAACTGTTTTTGTTTTAAAAACTTATAATGCGTGCTGCACATTTTTTTTCCCTCTCCCCATCCTTCATTTCAATAAGAACCAACATACAGGAGATATTTTTAATAGTAAAAAAAAAAATTAACTAAAAAACACTTACCGAACTTCCAATATTTGTAACAGCATCAGAAGCACGTAAGATTTTTGTTTCTTTCGGAGACATAGCAAAAGAATGCACAATATGACTGCAAAACTCGACAGCGATACCAATTGCCTAATAAAAAAAAATAATAAATTAAGACTAAACTACAAATTTCTATTAAATACTCAAATATAAAAATTAAATTTAAAAAAAATCAGTACCATGACCAGATTAACTAGAGAGACTGCGTTAAGACTGATATTCCAGAAATACATCAATCCTCCCATATCAATTACGATCATCAGGATCGTTATTACAGTAACAAAGGCAGATGAAAGGTCGATGCCCATCAGTAGTGCGGTAACTAAGAATATGGTAAATAATGATATGAAAATACTCTTTAGAGTATCTACCCACATCGTTAGATATTGTTCATAGAAGACGTAGAACACACTAAAACAAATAAATAAAAAAAGGGGTTAAAAAATAACATTTCACTATATCAAAAATCATAAAAAGAAAATTAACTATTTTATGAATGGAAAAATTTAGAAATAGTTTGTAAAAATAAACATTACAAGCAATTAAACTAGTAGAAAAAGATAGCCCCAAAGGCCTTCACAGATGATGTGGACATAGTGGCGTTGTCAAGGAAAGCTATGGAGGATGCCTTTCTTGCTCTTCAGACGGCTTCACTAAATCTTGGTCTAGAGGTTAACGAGACCAAACCAAATATATGCTGGTGAACGGTGAGGATAACCAAGGGAACACCACAGCTCTCATAATAGGAAAATTCTCATTCCACAAAGTTTCCAAATTTCTTGTAGCTGAAAACACTTGTCACTTCATCTAACTACATGCCCCTCAAATCAGCCACCAGATGAAGGTAGCCAACTGGTGCTCTGTTTGGGTTACAATAGGTTGATGCATGAAGAAGAAAGAAAAAACATGAACTCTACAGTTTGAACGGAGCCATCTACGTAATATAGTTCATCAAGGTGGACAGGCTCAGCTGGGCAACATGTAGCACACATGGCCGAGGAGAGGATATCTAGAAAAGTTATAAGGGGCTGTTAGCTCCCCGCTAACATCAAGGACAATAGCCGCTGACACAAGAACTATACTTCACCAACAGAACTGGAAGGCGGCGTCATCGTTATTGCCTGCTTTTATTACAGTAAACTTAAAATATTTCGGACTTAAAATCATAATTTTAAGAAGAAGATAAAGTAGATAAATATACTGGCACCCATCTCAAACTTAGGATTAAAAACTAAATAATCATTTTTAATACATGAGTTAACAAATTTATATCTTAAAAATAACCTTACCTATATGGAAAAACTTCTACGGTAACATTGGAACCCATGGTCTTTAAATTGGTGTTAATCATGTTGGTAATATTATCAGATATCACCCGAGCTTCCCTTAGGGCGCCATAATAGTCAGATGAAGTCTTGAGGATGGTATGAAACGCCATGAAGTAAGAAGACTGAACGTTTGCTAACTGACCTTTCTCGGAAAGCTTATAACTCACAGCCTATAAGATTTAAATTTAAAATTCAGATTATGTAATTAGTATTTTTTTATAAATAACGTAATATTTATAAAAATAACAATATTTTTTTTGTAAATATTTTTTTAAAAAATAACATAAAATTAAACATACATTCCCGTATGCAGCATGTCCAGCTTTAGAACACGTCTCGTCCGGATTATCTTCCAGGAAAGAGGGTAAATATTTAGCGAAACTCACAGTATCAGGTCGTTTATTATGCGCATTAAAACCGATATCACAATCTTTACAAGAGTAATCTGTAAATTCAGAAACAAAAATGCATATGTATAATGAAAAAAAAAAATTATATATTATATTATATAACTAATGGAGCTATACTACATAAAACAATAACATAAATGTTACCATCAGTGATTTGTGCTGAAAGGGCTTCAAAACATCCAACTTATATGATCATTTGATAAGGGAACATAAAAATGTTATCGATTGTATCAATAGGCGCCAGTAAATATTATTGAAAAAATCGTTTACAGTAACATTAACGTTTAAAACATTTAAACGTTTTGATAGCTGAATCACAATTTTTTTATAACGTGCTCATCGTAACTTTATATCTTTTTTATCAGATCTTTATTTATATTGTTTTAAGACACAATAAAGAGTCTTATAAGTTGAACCTTTTTCTTCATATTACATGATTTTCAGAGACAGCGTTCGTAACATGAAAGATGAAGTTAAATTGAATTTAAAATTAAAATTTCACAGTGTTAGGAAAAAAGATTCAAATCCCAATCCCATGTATATTGTGATTACTTCTTAACAAGGTCTTCCCCATATTGCTTTCCCATATAAAGGCCACTCTTGATAATTATAACCACCTCTTTTCATAAAATTATATACTCGTCTAGAAATTCGCTCATAGCTTCATTTATCATAATCAACGACTTTTTTATTTACAAAAATTCTCGGAAATAGATTGTTCTCAATATGAATATAAGTTAACAAATCTATTTAATGAGGTACTAAACACTCATTTCCTTTCCACTTTAACTATTAAATAATTTGATCACATTATTAATAACATGCTCTATTTTTTTTTATGTGATGTGTTGTTTGATAAATAGAAATTTTATAATAAAAAATTCAAGTTAAAAAAAATGTATATATACAATTTTTTTATAGTAGATTAATGATTGATTTTCTTAGATATATTAAAGAAAAGTTGGGTAGGGTGTTAAGTGAAACAAAGAACAAAGAAAAAATAAAAAATTGTGAGTAAATTGTTGACTGTAGTGAATAATGAAGAGAAGAATATGATCAGTCAAATAAGAAGGCAAAAATAAATGATAATCTTATTTTGACATTTGCTGACGTTTCGACCTGAAGTTCAGGCCTTCATCAGGGCTGCGTCCAAAAAGGTTGTTGGAGAAGTCACTTCCTGGACTTCAAGGCCTGGACTTTAGGTCTAAACGTCGGCAAATGTCAAAATAAATATTATCATTTATTTTTTGCCTTATTTGACTGATCACCCCAACTATTCTTCTCTTCATTAAAAAAAATAAATTAAATTTATTTTTATTAAATATAATTTATTTATTTTTACTTTGCTTGAATAAACATCCCAACCAACTTTTCTTCAATATACAAATTTTTTATACATGGGAGAGAGAAACACTTTATTTTCATAAAATATAAAATATAAAGGATTGCTGCCCAATTACATTGGGTTGCTATACACACAGCATACTCTTCTATCCTTAAGACAATATATGAACTTATATATAAATATACAGAAGTATTAGTTAATATTAGTAAAACAGAAATATATATATATATATACATTTTATAAATATATATATAAATATATATATATAAATATATATACATATAAATATATATATATATACATACAGAGGTTTCACCTATATTAAACTTGGATGTAACTGATTATACTCTTAGTAAATTAAAATTGATATTTAAGAAGAAAAAATTAGTAGCCATCATAAATACCTTGATGAGGGCAGAATGATTCGTTAGCTTCAAAATACTTGCAGCAACCAGGGGTCGTTGACCAGTCGATGTAGTCGTCCAACCACGATGAAGCTGGTCTTCCGATGAACGTGGTGTTGGACTGCTTCGAAGCACTATAGATCTGTGCTGTCAATGAATCCACATTACACCACTGCCCTCCACAAATAAGATTTTGCATTTGCGTGTCTGACATGTTAAGACCAGGTTTCAATACAAAATAAACAGGTGCACCGATGGACAGGAATTCTTTGAGATACTAAAAAAAAATATATATATATATATACATATATTATTGATAATAGAGTACATTTTACTTGTAATAGAAAATTAGAAAAAATCAAACCCTACTAGATTAAATCTAAATATAAGGAAAAGAATATATTAAAACACAAATTGAGAAAATTCAATTATTATATTTTAAGTTACTAGCAATAATTAATAATAGCCTTAATTAATATTAATAATAAATTGTTAGATACGACAATCTAATCTGTATAATTTCTAAAAAAAAAATATATGAAGAATCCTTGGGTTCCTCATCATTTTATATAGATTCCTTTTCCCGATCTCAGGAGTTATGGATTTTAATAAATCAGGTATCAAACAAAAGGGAATCTAATAAAGAGAGCAGTGAAAAATCCCAATTTTGATCCCTAATTTCCGACTACAACTTCTAGTCCGCGGTACAGACCCCTTTTTTTTCAAATTATTCACATCCACCTAAAACTTAGTGAATAGCTTCATCTTATTGTAAATCACAGATTTTTTATCTACTCAATTTTTCAGTAACGGGATAATTTCTCATTTAATTATTTTATTTAACTAGGTACTAAAAACGCATAAATACTCATTTGCTTTGCACTTGAACCGTTAGATAATTTGATCACATAATTTAAAAAAAGGGTGGCCTACAAAAATATTGGGCTGTTTGGCCTGTTGTATACCTTGTTATTTAGACTGTTGGGGGTGGAGATCACGTCAAACGACCCAACGATTATTCTCAATTTTGTGAACAACATATCTTACAATTCAAGTGGAAAGTAAATAGGTGAGTTTTTAATATCTAATTAAACAGACAAAGTTTGCCAATTTCTAGATTGTAAACTAATATTCCAATGCCGAGAATTTTAATAAATAAAAAAGTTATAGGTTACGATGTGATGAAGCTACTCACAAAGTTTTAGGTTGATATTAATTATCTGATAATAAAGGGTCTATACAGAATATTTAATAAAAGGAATTGAAAAAATTGGGTGGTTTCAAAAACTCAGATGGTTTCGAGTCAACAAATTAGAGAAGAGATTACTGAGTTTTAAAGATTTTGACACGGTCATCAAGACCCATAATAGTTCCAAAGGAACTATCAGGTCCTACGTTTTAAAACCACAAAATGTCCTGTTTTCGAGATAAATCGCAATACTTGCCCACTTATTACTTTAAATTTTGTGTGTTGAAAAGACTTACTTAATATTATACTATATACACGAATAATCATGTTTCACCAAAGTCACTTATATATCAAATACAATATAAGCAATTACATAATGTGAGAGATATCAAGTGGTTTTTATAAAATTCCTCTACTCAATTAAACAACCTTATTATAATACAATAAAACAAACTTTAAGTAATAATTATTAAATACAGTGGGGATATATTATCTTATTAATATTATAATGTGCTACATGAATATCATAAAAAAAAATAACCAGAACTGACAAATAGCACACATAAAAATTGTAGCTAGTCTCAAATTTCTAAATTCAAACTCAAAATTCTACTAACCCTGAAATATTTATGTACAAAGGAATCCTCAGGCATTGATAGTTCTTGATCCAGCCCAACATCAATACTGGGCAACGTCGAAATGGAAACGCACAGCCAACCAAAGAATACTATCATTACCGCTGGTCTAGTAATTTTGTGCATCAGGAACGGCACGTAAAATGATTTAAACAATCTATACAATAGGCCATCGCCTGGTGGATCACCTTTCCTCGAGGCGTGAAGACAGCAAGCCACGTCTAATCTGTTCTCCTAGAAGCACAATAATTATTTAATTTAGTCAATGATCATGAAATACTAGCTTATCTTAAAAAAATAAATAAATAAAACTTTGAATTTTTAAAATACTTTACAATCTCAGTAATACAAATGAATTGCTGCTGCAAGGAGTATTCAGATTTTATAGAACTGCTCAAAAATCTAGACAGTAAAATATTTAAACTCACTACATACATGTAATTAAAATTAACTATACTTATATGCAGTAGTTGTTGTTTTTTTTTAAAGAATACATTTATTTTAGTTTGTTTTGACTATCAGCCCGTTATCTTTGGCATGTTAGGAAAAAAGTGTTGTTATGGCATATCGGTTTCTAGTGCCTGTCAAATACAGTGATCGAAATGGAATAATGCATCTTCATACTTTACAGTCATACTTTTATTATAAAAAAAAAGATAAAGCAGTTGTGGACAATAACATCAGAAAAATAGACTGTGCATATGTAAAAGCTAAGAAAATTCCCTGAAATTCAACAATCCAGGTTATCATTTGTCTTTATAATTTTCTCTTGCACTACCTTTGTGATTTTTTTTTTTTTTGTTCAATTTACTGTTGGGTTTCGATTACTGAGATCACACTGTAATTAATAATAAAACTAGTAACAGAACCAACAAAGAAAAAACAGTCAAAAATGAGAGACGTGTATAAAAAATTTGTATTTTGAAATATACATATTTTTCATACTTAACTATATATTTCATACATATGCAAGTGAAAATAAAAATTTGGAAAAGTTATGACAAGTTTCATTTCATTCCAAATAATCTTACCCAGACTTCTTACAATATTCATACTTCTATTCTTATTTCTATTAATACTGTTTCAATTATAATGTAAAGAATTTGATTAAAATGTAAATAAAAGAAATATTTTAAACAAGAGATTACTCCTTTGTTTTTATACTTACAGACTGACGGATTGAGTCGAGGGAGAGTAAACTCACGAAACAGGTTATTTGAAATAAAAAGTCCAAGAATAAAGCCATCCCAGCGTATAGTGCAAAAGCTTTTACAGCAGGCATGTCCGAGAGGCCTCCTAAGATTATTAATAAAATTTGTCAGATTCATAAGATAAGAATAAAAAATAAGCATAAACAATATTTAATGTAAATAATATAATTTTACTAAACAATGTTGGAGGAATTAAAAAATATTTTTTTGAAAGTAGCAAAAATAAAATCTTCCAATATAACTATATACTTATTTGTTCATATTACAGTTTAATAACATCATAATAATCTAATATTCTACATCATTCTGCTAATGTCAAAATAATTAATAAATCTATATCTGAAAATATTTATCTGTCTTTAGCTAAATAAGAAAATTGTCTTTAAATAAATGTCTACGGATATAATTTTATTCATTTCATTATTTTGAAATTAAACAGTGAATACTCAGAAAGTTTTACAATGGAGAAACCACCATAAAACATTAACTAATAAATATATAATTATGCAGGGAGATCTTATTTTATTCACCTTTAAAGAAAAATTATTTTAAAGCCCAGAAAATTAAGAAAAAAAATAATGAAGAGAAGGACGGTTGGGGTGATCAGTCAAAATAAAAATGGCAAAAATAAATAATAATATTTATTTTAACATTTGCCGACGTTTCGACCTGAAGTTCAGGCCTTCATCAGGGCTGATCAAAGCAATCGCTTGCAGAGAATGATCATTTTGACAATCATTTTTATTTTGACTGATCATCCTTCTCTTCATTATTGACTACAGTCAACCATCAACCCACAATTAAGAAGAAAAATATATTAAAAATTGTTAAAAATATTGCTTTATTCTCATAAGAAGTTAAATATTAAATATAAAGAAATATTTTTACTTTAAAGATAAAATTTTCAGTATTAAGACATAATTGTAGATCGGTAAGATAAAGTTACCTAAAAAGAAACACGCTGATTCTGAAAGACTGGTTAGTAAAATTGATGGTCCTATGTGTCCTAGAACCCTTGCTATATGTTCTTCATGGGTTTCCCCTTCTAATTTTGGCAATCTTTGATGCGTCTGAACTAAAATAAATATGTTGTCTACGCCAACAGCAAGAACCAAAAAGGGTATAACCTGTAAATATTATATTAAACTTATTAGCAACATAAGAAAAATATTCTTATAATAAATTGTAAAAGAAAAAGTCAATCGTCTCATTTTCATATCCACGAAAACAAGCTCACTCGACAAATGTTCACATAGGCACAAAATTATGGCGTTTGAATAAATAAAACATTTTTGTTTTTGGATATTCTTTTTCAAAACTCAACTCAAATTTTTTTACTATAGCAACATATATTTCCTTCATAGATTAAGTGAAAGTAAAAGTTTTATGCCAAATTGTATTTCAATTTATTCCATTATTCCATTTTGGCAATTTATTTTACTTACTTTTTTCTTTTTTCTTCAATATTACTACCAAGTTGAAAATTTGAAAAGTTGTTTATTTTTATATTCCCAATATCTAATTTCAATCTAACAATTACTTTCAGTTTCGTTTTAAAATTTACTTCATGTCTTAAACAACACAAAATAATAATAATAAAAAAAATTGCCCTTACCTCCATTATAATTAATGTGGCTGGAATTTTCATGAAACCAAAAAAACCTATCGACGAAATTACTGAAGCAATCACAATAAATACTCCTCCAAGGCCTAAAGTAATTTTACTATCCATCTGAAAGTAATAGAAAAAATAAAAATAAATTACTTGCCTAATGTAAACATAGCTGTGTCAACTCAAATGAGTATAAGCATATATATATGTACATGAAATTATAAAAATTGCTAATAAATTATTACAAGTTCATTATGATAACTCATAAATGAATGCAACACAACTTAAAGCAATCAGTATTTCTTTATAATTTTAAATAACAACTAATAAAAAATATATCTCATTTTTCATTTATTAGGCAATTATTTTCAAAACTGACAGCTTAAGGCCCAAAAACATATGAGCCTTTTAATTGATAAAATGACAAACTCCAATTTCAACATTTTTAAGTAAAGTTATTTTAGTGATATTTCTAGATAGAAAATTTATAATATCTGTACAGACAGTGAGTAAATAGAATCCAGAGTAAACGATTGCAGTGTTGAAATATGTAATTGTGACTAAACGTATACATTTTCCCACAAGAAATATAATTAATAGTAAAAAATGTTGAAATTTGAGTTAGTCGTTCTGTCAAGTGAAAAAAGGCTCATATTATCGAACCAAACTTGACTAGAATAACCCTAATGAACACATTTTTTATACAGGATTGATGTGCTATTGGACAACAACAGCTATGTAGTGCAGTGAGAATTTGAGTAAAAAAGCAAAGAAAAATGTATTGTGGATGAGCTAGATTTGAAATTAATTGCCTCATATTTATATAGAGAATAAAATTAAAATAGATAAAAATACCTACCAACAATGTTCCACAACTCCTAATATGGCCAAGCGCAATGGCTATATAAATAAACATGATGACGTATGAAACAAGAATTGTGAAGATATCAGACTTGGATTCTCTATCTAATTCATCTTCAATCGACCTTTCAGAGGTGAATGCGACATCCATATATTCTGGTTTTCTAGTAGCAGTCCAATTTTTCATGAAGTGGATGAATCTGAAGAGAAAAATATATAAATTTAGCCTATACTCATTTCAAATAAGCAACAAGTAATAATAGCAACCTGCAATATTTACAACTACAAGTAGGCCTGTGCGAACGCACCAAAAGATAAAGAAATCAATTGTTACTTTATCAATAAATATAATCGACAAAGGAAACAAAAATTAATTTAAATTTTTATTATTGTTTGGAACCAACATGTTTACAAATTTCAATAATCTGAATCTTTGCTAAAAATTGTCTGATTTTGATGATTTTTTTCCCCTTTTGTAGGGAATTTAGTAATCTTTTATATTATCATGGGCATAACCCAGAGAAAAGTGTATAATTTTTTAGTTATTCGAAAATAAAGTTTGTTTTCTTTCATAAATTGTTTGTCTGAATTTTCGTGGAGATTGGACTATTTTGCCTGCCTGAAAGAGATGGAAGCCTTCGAAATTGGTGGCTCAATCTTGAGATTTGGTGAAGAATTAACAATAATATGGCTTGCCGATCAAAAACACCATCGATAAATAATATAAACTCCTCCTCTCTCGGTCAAAGAGGCCTCAAGTTGACGAGACATGTATTCACTGACAGTACTACAATTAACGTAAGGTTCTGTGGATGCCTAGAGTTATCTCGAAAATAGTATGTTCATGGGCTTAAAAACGCAGGATCCGACAGTTCCGAGGGAACTATCTGGGTCTTGCTGTATGCATTAAAATCTTCAAGGTCCAATTTGTCCCGCATCGATCTACAGACCTACCACTGTTCCAGTATCGAAGCCTAGCAAAATGTTTGTATCGACTTTATTTATTTAAGAAAGAAAAACATAAGTGGAGAATACGATTCGCTAATCCCCCATGAAATTCTGAATTCAACGGAACCCCATTCATGGTATTTGAGCATGACAGGAGCTTATATGTGGTACAAAACCGATTTCGAGCCTTACTGTAATAATGTATGTGGGGATAGTAAACCCTTGTTACTACAAACTCAAATGAACCAGAAATTCATTGGTTTGTTATAAAGAAGTTCAAAGAATATTGATAGTGTGGATTTTTTAAAAATTTTATAAATAAAAATGCAATAGGAATAACACTAATTTTACTGTTTGTAAGCATTATGAACTGTTAAAAAAGACTTATTAAAACTTACTTTTGTTCCCAGTTCAATGCAGGGACAAGTTTTGTTTTGTTGTGATGATTGTTGACAAGAAATGATAATATAACTGCAGTGGCTTTTTCATAAGTAGCATTTTTCGATAAACTCTCTCCAGGTGCCAAGAAGCCTCCGAGTGCTATCGCAGGATCGACGGGACCTTTATAAAGTGCCAAGCAATTAATGTTGTATGGATTCCTAAAAAAATAAAATTAAAAAATGATATATTACGAAACAGAATAAAAATAAATTACAAATAATTTATATATAAGTATCTTTCAGTTTTTGGACATTAAATACAATGATACCTAACCATACATTACAATATTGTAATAAATACATCAAATTTTTTCCAAGAAAGATTTCCTAAAACTCCATATAAAAAAAAAAAACATTTCAAAGAGATTACATTAAAGAATAGATTACCAAAGATCTACGTAATAGGTCTGTTGATAGTTAGAAAAACAGTTCTAACACAACATCTATGAGCTACATATGTTAAAAAATAAGAAAAGATCGATCTGTATTACAGCGTAAGACATAGGTCAAATCCAGTCAATCGTACGTCAATTATAAAGAGATAGTAAACAATATTTTAAAGATAGAATGTGAATTATTTCTAGTCCAGGATTAATATGGAATATTAATACTCCAGTAGTACTAGATCCCATTAACAGGAGAGTTTGCACCACAAACTGACACAATAGGTATAACTTTCAATAATTTAATTAATATAAATATAATACATTTTCTTGTAATTAAACCCCACCAACATCAGACAAAGCATGATCAATATTGTTATTATTGTATTTATCATCATAGTCATGGTATTAGTATTATTGTTATTAAAAATTAACCTGTACCACTACAACCCATGAAGAGTCTTGGGTTCAGCACTATTTAGGAAAAGCACTATTTCTTGGTCTACGGTTGTGCACGGAGGTGATTTGACCGAGATCATGCAGGTTTTTCCCCTTAATCAATTATTTTTTTAATTAAGGGTACCCACTTTATAGAGGCTGGGTGTGCCCCAGGAGGGTCTACTCACCCAGGGTCGCCCCACGGCTAATGAAACAGAATAAATAATTTTTCTGCCATGAGCCAGGATTCGAACCTGGGGCCTTTGGCATCGGAAGCTCAGTACCCTACCACTGAGCTAACCGACTCCTATTATTGTTATTATTAAATACATAAAATTTAAATAAATTAAAAAAAACAGGAAAAAAAATCACAATAACATAGTACTTTTAAAAAATTAGAAATATTTTTTTTTCTTACCGGGTACAATCCCTGATTCGATCTAGATAATTTACAATGAATCCATTTTCATCTACAGTAGAATCCTCAAAATTTTCTATGTCATCTTGAAAGTAACCCCAAATACTCTGTAGAACACAATCCTTGACTGTAGTTGGTCCTGTGAAAGTTGATGTCAAGGGGGCATAACAAATTTTTTCTAAACCAGTGTTATCTTCACTCCCCAACTGAACAATATACATTTGTAATTAATTAATTAGAAATAAATTCACTAATATATTTAAAAAATATGAAATAGGATCACAAAAAAGTTAATGCCTTACAGCTTGTATTTCTCTTTGAAGATTTAGCACTTCTTTAAGAAATTCTTCATGAAAAACAGGCCCGAATTCAATCACTCCATTAGAAGTGTTATGCATAATCTAGAAAATACCATTAAGTTTCTATAAGTGAGTAAGGAAGATAAAAACAAAAAATATTATCACTAAGCAAATTTATCTTACATTTTCGAGACCGACAGCATGGATAATAATTTGTTCCGTTCTGTAAAAAGGCATGAAGTTTTCATCAAAAAAGTTCCTCTCCAGACGTGACCGACTGTTCGGAGCAGCCCAAAGTTCCACCGGGTCAGTAGTGATGTATAGGTATTTAATTCCATGACCGAGGGCAGTAACGACACAAGCACCAATGAACAGGGTCAACCATGGACGAGTAGCACACCCTACGGTCATTATTATTATCATTAATTTAATGAAATATAGAAACAAAGTTAACAATTTTATATATATTTACATAATTAACATATAATGTTTTGAAAATTTAACGAGTTGAATAATATAAAGATAATAATTAAAGAATAAAATTTTTATACTCAAACAGCAGTAAAATTTCATTTATTTTAATTACTTTAATTTACAATAAATGTATTGCATTTATTATTTCCTCTTAAAAATGACACTAAAACCCACACGAAAAAACATGAATTTCAACAATGGTCCATTGTACAGTGAAACGTTTTATACGACACTTTTCTCTAATGAACACTCTTCAATTTTTAATTTACAAGTCGGTTAGTATAGGAATTAAGCTACATTTACAATGGATACCTCTCTAACAAATAAGAACAGCCAAATATTTGTCACTGAGAGATAAATATATCACATATGAACGAAGGCTTCAAAATGTGGAACTAAAGAAAATCACATTAAACGGTTTTATCTCAATAAGTTCATATCTTGAAATAAATTTTTTTTTAATATAAAAAAAATTCTTCTATGAAATGTTTTTGAGAGCAGAAAAGCTCATTGAGTAAATCACTATGTCAGTAGGGCCCTGTAACAAGAGAAGTAAATCACTTCTTCTAATGGATAGGAGCAATACTGTCCAGGTGTGTGACAAAACTGTACACTGGTCACTGTCAACTAAATAAGTACCTCTTTAATTTGGATGTGAGTGAGACCTCCACCTGCAGGCTGTGTGACCTGGAGGATGAAACGGCCTATCACATTATTTGTAGATGTGATAATTTGGCTTGACTGCGATACTTTCAGTTCGGGTGTGATCGCAACACAGACCCCAAGCGCTGCGAACTAATAGATCCTATAAGTATTAACAGGAGTTGATATAAATATATGATTTGATAGTTGTAATGATACAACCATGACTCAGGGATGCTCCGTACCTCCACAGCATAGGAAGGTGAGAGCGACCCCTGTATTTAATAAAATAGCTCCTTTGGTCCTCCAGATTTGGAGGTTAGGCACAGGGCTAATAATCCTGTCCCGTAAAAAACAACAGGATAGAGACATCTGCCAAAGGTTGCCAACCATTCTGATGAAGAGAGAGTGATTGTGATCCCGTCCGATTATTATAAACCACGTGCTCCCTGGATATCATCTATATAAGAAGAGAACCAAACGATTACAGCTTATCGCCTAGAACAGCTCCGATGCTGCAAGAAGACTGATGGCAGAAATCAATAGAGTCAAGACGCATTAAAAAAAAAAGTATTAACAGGTTCGCAAAGGCATCTGGCCTGTTTTAATTGAGTATAGGATGACGCACAATAGGCCTTTTTGAGGCTGCGATGCATTCCTTTGTCAGGGGGGAGGGGGAAACACCATGTTCCTATGCTCTGGGTTTCTGATTTAGTCTGTTTGTACCAGGTAATTATTTTTTCTGTTACATCAGCTGAGGACCAATCCTGAGATCAGGAGACCCTCCTGGGACACACCAAGCCTCAACAAAATGGTTATTCCTAATCAAATATAATAATTGATTGCAGAGAAAAATCAGTTGGTCGAGCGTGATCTAAAGCTTAAACTACCTCCTTGCATAACAGTTGACCAAAAATCGGTACTTCCTGACAAAGTACTAAACCCAAGATCCTACATGGGTTGCAGTCATAGATGAGTATAATCATAATCTATAATTACTATTACAATTATAATGATTTTGATTACGTGATTACACATTACAATCGTAATTAGGTTTTCAATTAACATTGTAATCAGGTTATGTCACGTTTTTGCAATATTTGTAGTGCTATTGATTCTAATATAAAATTAGCCGTGTGATTAAGTTACATTTTCAGTTGTAATCATTGATTCCAATTTGGCCTATCTCTCGTACTAGTGGAATAGGTTTTTTTTATGTAATATTTTCAGTCTAATAAGGGAAATATGTACATTCTGTTCTCCTCATATACAATTTGTTTCTTCAATCTTCATAGATACCATCTCTTAATTAAAAAAAACAATGAGCCTAACTCATAAAGTATGGAATCTCCTAATTTCATTTCAATAGGAGAAAAATCAGAGATACTAAATTTCAATTTAAAATAATAAATAAATGAAACAACATCAAAGGGAATTGACAAGCAAATTTTAAGTTTTTTCTAATAAAATTTGTTCACTCAAATTAATAAACTTGTTTTGATAGATGCATGCACTTATCATTTTTTTATCAAAACTTCTATACCCCTCCTCAAAGGACACTCTCTGCAGTGGACAAATCCATTGGAGCCATTACTGTTCACTGTAAAGAGCTTTCACTCGATAAAAAATGCATTCATACTTAATAATGATGTATTATAAAATTAAATACATACTTATGACTAAAAGGGACTTACATAATCCAATGTTATAAAAGAAATATTGCAGTTTTTCATCGAGATATACTCCCATTTTTTCTATGAGAGAAGACGGTTGAACTATGGTCATGGTAGGAGCACTTGAACTTCTACCTTCAGTACCATCAGTACTACTGACAAAACCTGTATTCAATCAGATATTATTAATAATTTTAAGATCAATATGTAATAGTTTATTTATGGAGCAAGAAGGAGTATTAAGGAATGTGAAAAGAATTTTTGGATCAGTGAGATTGGAAAGAACAAAAACTATATGTTTTTTTAACGTCATAATTAATATTATGAGGTCAAAAAACGCCTGATAATAAAAGATATGTTTGCTCTAATATTTTGTTACTTTTTTTCCTTGTCCTTTTTGTTTTGTTCTTGTGTATAGATAGGACACTGCATTCAGGAAAATTCAAGCAGCTTGAGGAAAAGGTATCAACAGGTAGAATTAAGGAATTGATTGAGAGTTAAAATTAATTTGCTACATCATCAATGGCTACTATAAAAATTTAATCAAATCTACTGGAAAGAAATTAATAACATAATAGAAATTGCTAATATAAAATAAAATAGACATCTAATATAGATGAATAGATGAAAGTAAAGAGATTTGTATATATATTTGCTAACATCAACTTAGATGAAATTGAAACAATATATTAATAGGAAAGAAAATAATATATAAAATAGAAAACATTTAAAAAAAAAAAACAGATAACGATACGGTACAGGAAACAATACCATAAACACAGAAGACAGTAAAATATAACAGATAGTTTGGAAGAAAACAAAGTCAGTCTTATACAAAACATAAAGCTTTGACTGCTTCTATAATTAACATGTCATCCTAGAATTTTTTTTAAATAAAAGAATTGTACGTCTATACAACATTGATAAATGCAATAAAATAAAACACTAACAATCAATTAATAATTTTATTTATAAATAATACTAAAATGATTGCCAATGTTAATTAAAACATGCTTATAAATCACCGTTATAAAACACTATTCTTACCAATATTTATCATTAGTATCATTCTAATTTACCTTATTTCATCATTTAAAAATTAAATATTATTTTTATAAGCGTTATTTTATAGTTTATTAGTTTTATATATTATTGTAATTGGTTAGTTGATGACACCACTGAATTTCATTTTTATTTTTTTGTTAATCTAGTATGTAAATACGGAGTGATTTGTAATAAAATTAGAAAATATTCAAGAAAAAAATAATTTTAAACTATGAAAACTCAATGGTATTTGAGTGGAACTGTTAGTAATCGATTATAATTTTAATTTGTTAAATAATAATTTTAACCTTAAATAGTGAATATCAATATAATTGCACCCCTGGGGACACACTTGCAGTAAGGCATTCAAGACATCCTGTTTGAGAACTCTAATTTAAGTTATAATACAAATAAAAAATGTATTGAGTAATTAATTCTAAAGGAGAACTCATTCAAAATATTACTTTAAGTATTAAAAAAAAAAAAACTATTAACGATACTAATAAAAATTATATTTAATGTTCTAAGTGGCCTTAAAGTTAGATAAATATATGATAAAACCTATCATGTGAGCAGTGTAATTTTTACAATACTAAGCATAACATAACTAAATTCTATAAATATAATACTATCACTAATATCTAGGGTGCTACCTGTGTTACCCATCATTGAGTGAGGTATAATTCTCATTCTTTATCTATTAATATTCTGAGATTTATTTAATCAATCTAGAAGTAGGAAAAATAAAAAAAAGAGTACTAAATCATTTCATAAGAAATATACATTTTAACTATAGAAGTTAATGAACAAAAGCATTTTGACATACCTACACATAGCATAGTCATAACGAGTCAGGCATTCAGCTAACTAAAGCACAAAGCTTAGAAAAAAGAATGAGGAAGTAAAGGAATGCAAAGCATAGTTGTGACAAATATAGCGATAATTATTAGAAATAAATTTTACATAAACCTACTCGAGCGTTTGGACTGTAAAGGACTTGATTCGTCATCGGCGGCCATCGCCATCCTTGGATTAGTTCTTCTAATGTGCCTTCCTACAGAATCATCTTCTTTGCTTCTCCTCAACAGAACACTCACTAAAGGCAAGACAATCGAAACCTAGATATCCATTCAATATAACTCCCACAAGAAAATCTTAAGTAATTCCTCCCAAAAAAAAATATTGAATTCCCTTCAATATAATATCGGCTGAAAAGTTCTTGTTTCTCTATATAGATAAATATAACTATTTGACTTATGTTGAAGAATAATTTAAGAAATGAAGTCCATAAGACTTCCTTATCGAATAAAAATTAAACTAAGGGACAAAATATAGGATAATTTATAAATAAATATTAAATCAAATAAAAAACATAAAAAAAATTATGTTATTTTAAATTAGTAAGCCTGTATGAATAATAGCAATATGAGAATAAATAAATTTTGAAAAGGGGGTTACATTTTTTTTTTTTTTTTTTTTTTTTTTTTTTTAAGTTTGATTGCAAAAGATTCTTATAATATAAAAAATAATAAAGCAAACCATAAGTACAAAATTCGAAAGGCTGTATCTTTGCTAATAGTAGTCTGTTTTTGAAAAAATTATTTCTTTCTTTGTAGGAATTTTATTACCTTTCAAATCATCATGTATACGATCAACCATATATAGCATAATTTTTTAGTTAAGGACAAATAATGTTTTCTTTTCTTCATAACTTTTTCTCTGAGTATGACTTTAAAAAGAACATGATTACTTATATATACCTTTTTATAAACTAATATTTCTAGTTTAGGCAAAGTAACTGATGATAAAATAAGTTTTATAAGATTCATATCATGAAAGGAAAATGGTAAAACATTATAATTCATTTATATGAGAAATAAGAACTTTTCAACTGACTTTCAAATTAACATAGTAAAAAAGAAAAGAAGAGGCAAATTAAATGCCAAGGAGTATTAGAGCAAGAAGAATGAATTAAATAAAAAATATTAAATAAAAATAGAACAATCGAGCAGTTAACCTTAAAAATTCAGTAGAGCAAAAAAATTATATGCAGATTAAAAGGGGTTTATCATTCATTAGTTAGTTTCATTTCATTACATGCAGATTGAAAATAATTAAATGTTGTGCCTATCACTTGAGATATAAAAGGCTCATACTCCAGAATATCATATCCTGTCCGGCAATGCACTAAATATGGCTATTCAGCAATTGATGTAGCTCGCTTGCTGCTATAGATATATTTACATAGCATGATAAGGGAAGACTTTATATTTTAATTTAGTTCAATATTCTTCTTCAATATCTTGACTTTTTTCAACATGTTTGGGTTATTGCCCTTCAGGAACAAAATTCAATAAATGTACCAATTGCTTGTAATCTAAGTCAATTTATTGCAGTGTAAACCTACAGAAGAGGCAATAACAACTAAATACTGAACAAAAGTCAAGATGTTAAAGAATAGTGTTCAACAAAAATAAAAGTAGTTACTTATAATTTTACACATTTTATTACTAAATTAAAATTTATTGAGATTAATTCATATGCCTTTTATCTAAGTAAAACAGTTAGTCAACTACACCAACCCATTCCAGTTATTAACGTTCTTGTAATGTTAAAGATGATCAGTGATTGTTTTAGCTAAAATGAAAAAAATAAATGACTGTAATTTATTAAACATACAGGGCTCTTCAGGGAGTTTTCCTTAATAACTTTATCAAACAGAAATATACTTCCTTAATTTAGATAGCATTTGTTTTAAATAATTACAAAGTTAAAATTCTGTTGTGGCGGTGGGTGGGATGCACGAACGGGTTAATGCGTATGCACAGCAACGCTGTTGCCCGGCAACTTGATATATAAAACAAATTGATAAAACAGGGGAAGTCTTTTAACTCTGCCATTTATCCTTCCCCCTCATTCCCTTGCCTGGGAAAATTTCATATAGCCTTAAAAGTGAGGAAGGTGAGAACCGAAAAAAAAAAAAAAGAAGTTAAAATGCTCTTGGTTTTTTTTTTTCTCATTATTATAGGAAAATAAAAACGACTGAATGTAATGGAAATGGTGGAATAGTGTTGACCCTTATGAGGCACTATCTGCCTCTAAAAAGTGGGTAACCGACCCTTTAATGAGTTAAACCCAAGATCCTTCAGGAGTTTAATTATTTTTATTTTTTATTATTATTATTTATTTGATTTTTTGTCTTGAAAATTATCTTATAGACTATTATCTATATTGATAATATCTTTGCTATTTAACTATTAATTGAAGACTGCTAGGAACTAATATTCTGGAGTACTCCAACAGAAGAAACTTGTCGACTAATAATATCGACATATAAGTTGTATTTACATGGTACCCTATTTTAATCTAAGATTTATTTAAATACAGAACAATAACAGAGATTTTCTTGGAAAATATAAATTTAATTTCTATTTAAATCAATTTAAACTGAATAAAATAATTATTTATATCTCTTATTAAGAAAAAAAAAACATATGAATGACGCATTACATATAAACAAAATAAAAGTTCCATAAGTATATACATGTTTTATTAATATGTGAAGTCAGCAATTCATTAACATTGATAAAATTAATAACTTCAGGACCTAGAGGCATCTTAGCGTTGTTTAAAATGATAAAAACTGCTGAATCATCTATGACAAAAAATCTTAAATTCTTGTAAAATACCAAGAAATCATAAAAGAAGTCCATATAATATAATAAAAAAAAATGTTTAAAAACCAACTAAAAAATCTTAATTTATAACATTATCACTCTCTGTTCCTAATAGTACAAATAATTCCTTTACCGTGGAACATACATCTTGTGTTTAAGATGATCATCATGTACTAGTTTAGTAAAAGTTTAGAATCAAAAAAAAAAAATTGAATATAATAAATTGTCAAAAATTGTCAAACTATTTATTTTTATTTTACTATAACCTTACACATATACTAGAAAAATCATTTTGCTCTTATATATAATGTATTAGGTGTAAAAAATTTCTATTAATTACTTTGAAAATTGTTCCTAACAAGTCAAAAATAGTACAGGATGGTCCTGATAATCCAAATAAATAGATTGCATTGTTTAAGGTTGTTCAGATTATCAAAGGTTTAAATTTAAAATTATGGAAAAACTGCACAAGGTAGCGAAAATATATGTATTGTCAGTTACATATAGACATATTGCAAACTACAAAGTGATTTATGAAACTGATCATATAATGTATGTTGAATCTCTAATTTTGTTGCTAAAGAAAATCCCCTTATCTCCCAAATTCCTTGGAAGTACCAGGCTTCGGTAGTCGACATTGTATCTATTCGCCCACTGAAACCAAGTATTTAATGCCTTTAAGGCGTTTAAATACTGCTTTTTAAATTATCAAGCCAACCTTTACTGGCATTAAAATCTGCTTTGTCATCTTTATTAAAAAAATCCATTTCGACTCTTGTCAGTCAAGTTTAAATTTATTGTCTTTCTTGTTCGAATTACCAGAGGTTTTGGATTATAACAAGGGATTTAGATTATCAAGACCATTCTGTATTCTTAATTGAAGTTGTAGGATTTAATTGTACAGTATGAACAAAGATCAACAGTATATATTCAATGATTAGCTACTAAATATAGTTTATTATAAAATAAATTCTCCATAAATGAATAATTGTAAATTTGTCAATACCATTACTAAGAGAAGGTGCCCAACATATGAAAGAGATGAAAACGCTGGAGACAGCGACGAATATCAAAGCCATAATAAGCGGAACTCCAGGAAGACCAAACAGTACGAACGGTCGAGGTAGAGGTTTGGGTGGAGGAGGAGCAGGGCAGCTGTCTTCGCAGTCCATACAGCTGCAAGCAGGAGTCTCTCGCTGGACAAATAAAATAAAATAGTTTATAATATTATATAAGACATATTTCCATAATAAATAATAAAATTATGTTTGTTTTTGGAAACTGTTTTTATTTCCTCCTGATTAAAATAAACAAATTTTAAGAATTGATAATTGAAACTAACCTTTCAGTACTAAAAGCATTTCAAATAATTTTTATTATCCAAATAATAATTGTAATAAATCACTAATATTACAGAAATTAATATATGATACTCATACATGGTAACAAGATTGTGATTATGAAAAACATTCTTCATAAAATAAACAATTTTTTTTGTGTGTTTTTTTAAGACATGAGTTAAGCTTTTGACAGAATATGGCATAATAAAGCAAATTAAAAGGTTCATTCCAGCCACACATTACTAAATTTTACAGTCATACCTAAAAGATAGGTTTTTGTGTAAAAATGGGGACTGAGTTTTCTACAATGAAAAAAATAAAAGCTGGAGTTCTGCACTTTTGGGTTCTACACTTTTTAATATTTATTGTTCCAACATTAAACAGCCCTATCGGCTAAATTGGCTAATGATGCAAACCACTTTGGACAAACGACATAGAGTTGTCAACAACAGCAAAGAAATCAAATACCAAAATTCTCAGAATAATTGTAGATAATTTTATGTCAACTATAACATTCCTTTCATCAAGCAACTGCCACAGATCATTCTAATAAATTTCTTGACAGACTTGCTCTTAATTCAAATCCACTTATTCAAACTATATATGCAATACCACAAACCCAAATGGTCCATCCATTAGACTGCTGAGGCGCTAGCCAAGAGGCTTACTATATTGAGCTACTTGCTGTGGTCTTGTAGACTTACCTTATTATTTTATTTCTCAATTAAAAGTTGGTATGTATTTTTTCTTCATTCTGTACTCTTTTTGAACCCCCTCCCTCCTTCTTGAAAGCATATTTATCTTGATAAAAGATATCTACATCTAAAGTTAAAAGATAAATTGAATACTTAATAGTTGACCATAAAATAATTGATAGTGGTCATAAATAGACTAAAATAGTGGCAAAACTGTTTTATTAAAAGCCAACGTTTCGACCCGACTTTGCAGGTCTTCCTTCTTCAGGAGGTGTATTCAGCAAGGAGTTTCACTTACAACTGGAGTGTGTAAACCCTAACCACTCCAGATTTTTTCCTTCCTCTTTAAAAGAAAAACAAAAATTTTAAGTATAATAGTTTTGTTTAAATTTAAGCTTGGAGTAATAGAATATGTGACAGTGAAGGAACAGAAATAAACATTTCTTATTTGAAAGTACATTTTAGAAAATTTGACAAAATATAATTAACCTAATATAAAAATATAATGATGGATAAAGTAGAGGAATAATGTATGGAAATGTACAACATGAAAGATAATAGATGATCAAGAAGACATCCTGACATATCAAACAATCAATATGATGTAAATCAGAGAAAGTTATACAGGAAGAGACTCCATTCACATAAATATCTTATATAGACTACACTCTAACTTATTTGTTAAGCCAATAACAACCGATATTGATTCAGAAGTAGATAATGTATGAATAACAAATCGAAAAATTGAATAATGCAAACCATTTTAAATATTTATTAACAGGTTAAATGTAAGCAATAGAATGAATAATTCGATTGAAAATCCAAAATAAAAAAGCAACTATTCAGAGATTCCGAGTATTATAATATTTATTAGATTAAAGTTGTAAACTCAGGCCTATCTCAACGTATGGTATGAAGTTTTAGTTCTATTTTGTGTAAGAAATAATCTATCTCTAAAACTAACAACCCTCAAGGAAAATACACATTGTTATTTGTTTAAAAAACAAAAAAATAAATAAAAACAATGTACCATTATAATCCAATACTTTATAAGAGTAAAAGAATTTATAATATCCCAGAATAGATCAGTCTTCCTGGAAAACAAGGAGGAAAAGGTTACTCAAGTTATCAACTTCCTATACAAAGAGAACCTGATAAAATATATTTGACTGATGTACAACAAATGATCCTCTACCAATCCTTTATTTATTGTAATAATTAGACTTCTCTCATTTTCTTAATAATTCTGTTCTGTATACATTTTTCTTTCTTCCTTCTATAAATTATTTATCTACACTTATTAATAAATGTTTCAATCTATTATTATCACTCAATTATTCTAATTTAATTTAACTCTCTTATATTCTCTATTCTCCATCTATCGAGTTATTCGATGTTTTAAAATATATAAGATGTTGATGATTAAAAAGGTTTTACACCCTAATCACTCCATAACTAAATAACTTTGTAGGGAGCTATCACTGTTTCTAGAACAAAAATTGTGCAAGGAGATAATTTGGTAAGGAACCCACCAGATTATTCCCCTAATTAAGAATCCACTTTATAGGCAGCTAGATCTTACAAAATTAATAACGATGTAACAAAATAAATAATTATCAGTCAAAGCCAGTACTGAATCTGGACCAGAGGCCTAGGAGCACATTGCCTTATTCGCTGAGCTATTCTGGTCTGTTTGCTTTAATTAACGTAAAGAAAAGAGATCAGTTAATCAATTTAAATAGAAATTAATTAAGATATTGTTTTTCAATTACTTAGTTTATATACTACATTAACACAAGGCTTTAAAATAAATATTTACTTTAATTATGTTTAAGTATTTATAATTATAAATTATAAATTTAATTATGTTATATAATTTAAATTTACAAAAAAGAAAGTACTCACATCTTTGGAGGCATTGCAGGGTATGATTAATGGATCTAAAGGAACCATGCCGTCTACAGGTTCATTTGTGTACTTAAAATCGATAGGAAATGGTACATAGGCATTGGCATTCATATCACCCATATACGTGAACCATCTGAAACAAATAATTACATATTAGAATAGAAGAATCGTTAAAACTATTACCACGTAAAATATTATTATATTCTCACTTTTCTGGAGAACACCTAGAAGAACCCCAAGAGCCACACATGACATCCAAGGCGAGCTGGCCCATAGATGGCACGTAAACTTGTTTGCATGAGTCGAAAACGCCTTGGGTATACTTCTTAGTTATGTAGAATTCAATTCCATTGACGAATAGACCTTAAAATATAATCATATAAATATGTCTCTAAAATCATTATTAAAATAATAAATTAATATTTATTTATATGGGATCACGATAGCCTGTTGTATAAAACTACAAACATATTTATAATTATATACATCAATAACTTACGTTTATCTTCAGCTACTTCAATATCAGTTACATTCAAAAACCGAGACTGATCTGGTGCACACGTCAGGCTACAGAGGTGTTCCAAGAAATTTGAAAGACAAGATGGACATCTCTTCAAAAAGTTTGCAGCCAGAGTTAACTGTGAGTCCATCGTTTTGAGCATATCAACATCACAGCAAGTCTCTATGGGTTTTCCCAAAGCTAAAAATAAACAGTATTGCTTTATTAAAAATGTTTTCAAAATTTAGTTCTCTAATATTTAAAATATAAAGTATACAAAATTTAAACCAAATGTTAAATTGAATACTCGGTGGTTGACCCTGGTATAATATTGAAGAAGGAGATAGTTCGGGGTGGCGCTCATAAGACTTAAAATAGTGAGAAAAAAAGTTTATTTAAGCCAAAAGGCTAAACAAAAATATACTTTTTGATAAATTTTCGTTATTTTAATATTTATTTAAACGTAAAAATATAGCCTAGAAGTGTTGCGACAAAATGTTTGCAAGAAATCTATAGACTATCAATTAAAAATTATCCGTAATTAAAAATTAACAGTTGTTTCGTTCAGTTTATTTTATATTTAAAAAAAATATAAAATCTGAATTACATTATTTAGAATACATTTTATTAATTAGAATACATGAAAATTACAGTTATAAAAATTGATCAACTAGTAGTACAATTACATGAACACTTGTATAATTTATAAAATGGGGGTAGGTCGGTCGTTAAACAGACAGGAGTTAACCTCCTAGATTTAACTATAATTCAAATACAGATACCTAACTGCAAACACATCTTTGAAAAAAGTATTTATAAAATATCTCTAATAGTATTAGCGTTCATTAGTATTATAACCTTTTTAATAGGACAACAAAATTACATAAACACCATTTTCTGTAGGTAGTTAGTTTCATTATTTTTTTCCCAAATGTTAACTGTTATATACATATAAATATACAAAAAAAAGCTTTCGGATTCAAGCACCCCAAAATTGAAAAATCCTGGATCCGCTACTGATCTAAAGATAATATCTCCACCATTATAACAAAGTTACTTAAAGAAAATTGACATCAATACTTGCACATTAATAAATTGACGGATAGAGTTGGTACATGTCAGGTTTTAATGGTTTCGAGATGACATTAAGACCTTCCTATATGCCAGGGGTCTCCAAGCTTTTTGGACAGCGGGCCACATTGATGCCTCCATTAAGTCCCCAGGGTCATGTTTTGTAAGGAACAAATGACACCTCACAAATAAATAAGTCTTCTAAAAGAATGCATAGATGTCGCACTCATGCAATAGATGTTGTAGAAACCTCTCATCACTCAAATAAGAGTGATTTACTAAATTTTACCATGTAATCAAAGAAACATTCGATGGCCGGATTGGATATACTTATTACACGAGTATCATTACGGTTTTTAAAAATGAATATATCGTTATTTATTATAGCCTAAAAGAAAAAATTGAAGTTAAAGTAAAAATCTATTTGAGTACAATTCTGGATTAGTATAAGTTTAGAAAAAATAGTCTTATTGCTTCACTGTTGAAACTGCAAATATAACTTCCAAAGGAGTACGCTAAGTATAATTATTTAGTAACTATTAAATTAACGTAGTCATTGATAAAAATGGGTAGGTAGTTTCACCAAGTGCTTGTCGAACAGACTTTCTAGATAACCTATTGTTTATATGAATAAAAATGATTCCCTGATATCACAGACGGATCTACAGAGGGGGCTGAAACCCCCCCTAAAACGATAAAATATAACCATATTTTATAGGAAAAAATATTAAAAACTATCTCTTAAAGTAGTATTGTTCGTTTAATTAGATTTAATAAGACTTCAAGAATCACTTAAACACCATTTCATATAGGTAGTTAATTTGTTTCTTTCTTTTATTCAAATTAATTATCGTAATATATATGAAAAAAAAATCTTTCCGGCTGAAGCCCATCCAAAAAATTAAATCCTGGATCCATCAATGCCTGATATAAATTATATTTCGAATGCTTTAGGAGAAAGGATCAATATCTAATGGGAGACTTCTCCTACAAGTATAGTCTGATTACAACAAAATGATTTCCTGTAATATTGGAGAAGGTGGCCTTATTCCAGGTGATGATACAATTTGCTTAATCTCATCATTACGAATAACCTGGAATGACACTCTAAAAAGGAACAAACAAAATTAATCATGAAGTTCCCGTAGAAGACGACTTTGACACATTGGTTATCTTAAATAAATAGTTTTGTAACTTCCTATCAGCCATAATCCGTTAGGGAAATACCATTACGCATAACTGACGTAGCGAACAAAATCATGTTTCATCGAGAAAAAAAATCAGCTACACGTCATTTATCTCTTCAAAACGGAATACAGTTTAAATTTAGAAATACTAAAAAAAAACTTCTCGAAAGAGTAAACAGAAGATTCCTCGAAAGATCTCATACGATGTGTAACAAAAATGTGCAAATCTTAAATGAAACTGACACATATAAGCTTAATGTATATTGAAATTATAAATATTTTGTAATCGTCTATTGTATAATATGTTATTGTTTTCTTATTATGCATTATCTATTTTATTCTTATTTTAGTTGTTTTTTTTCTTTTAATTTCAATGTCGCAATCCTTCATTACAATATACTGAAATGCATCAAAGAGGTTTTAAATGACATCTAAAACTAAAATTTAATCATAAAAAAGTCATGTAAACTTGCTTGTTCCTGTTGATACAATAGCGTTCGAAGTTCGGAAACTGGAACTAATAATGAAATATAAATCTATTTTCATTTCTAATTAATATTATCTTTATTGAATATTTAATAGTTGACCGTTGCATTATAAAGGAAGGAGATAGTCCGAGGTGGCGGTCATAAATAGGCTGAATAGTGGCAAAACTATTTTATTAAAAGCCAACGTTTCGACCCGACTTTTCAGGTCTTCTTTCAGGAAGATGTAGTGTATTGAGCTAGGAGTTTCACTTAGAACTGAGTTCTAACCTCCTAGCTGAACACACCTCCCTGAAGAAGACCTGCAAAGTCAGGTCGAAACGTTGGCTTTTAATAAAATAGTTTTGCCACTATTCAGCCTATTTATGACCGCCACCCCGGACCATCTCCATCCTTTAATATTATCTTTAGATATTATATTATATTTATACCATTTATTGAAGGCACTGACGGATCCAGAATTTAATTTTAGGGTGGGCTTCAGCCCGACAGATATTTTTTTGTATAAATATATTAGCATAATTACTTCGGAAGAAAGAAACTAACTATCTATATGAAATGGTCTTTAAGTCATATTAACCGTAATTAGACGAACAATAATACTTTTAGAGGTAATTTTCTTAATAAAATATGGTTATATTTTATCTTTTTTGGGGGAGGAGAGGGGCTTCAGCCCGAAAACTCCCCCCTCACTCATAGATCCGCCCGTGATTAAAGGTTTTTGTTAAGACTTGAAAGAAATAGAGCAGTAATCCTAAACATTAATCAATCAAGATAACTGTAAGCAATTGGGTTTACACAACATTCCCTGCTATAAATATAACGCGAGGACAAACTTTTAAGCATATTCAAGTCGATCTAAGAAAAGACTGCTTTCCTAAAGTACAACTACATATTACCTTATCTAGATCAGCAGGCGGAGAAAAATAGTATATTAGACCGGGAACCCAGGCAGAAGAATATGACGTTATTTACACTAATTGTAAGTTTCACCAATTTCCTTGAAGAGCTTAAATACTTTCCCTTACTATATATATATATTACATATATGGGTAAGTGAGAGTAAAAAATAAGATGACTCCGCCGGAACATAAAATGCCAATAAATCAAAATAGAATTGTTGTATTATTTCAGTTAACGATTTTAAACTCATCAATGGTGCCTCAAAGTGAATGAGTAATATTACAAATTCGGTACTAAATATAGTCATTCATTATAGATCAGGACACAGACGGATCTACGGGGGGAGGAGGGAGCTTTCGGGCTGAAGCGGAAAAATATAACCATGTTTTATAGAAAAAACTATCTCTTAAAGTATTATTGTGCGTGTAATTACATTTGGGGTATTGTATTGTAATTATATTTTAGGGGGCGGGGTGGCCGAATAGGCTAAAGCGTGTACATATATTTTTGTATTTTGACCACTTGACTCTGAAACAAACTGTGTGTACATACACATACATATGTCTATGTATATATACATATTTATGTATAATATAAATTTTATATTATTAGTATTTATCACGATACAAGCCAACGATGCGTGTATCACTTCCAGGTCTAAATGGACAGAGAAATGAAGGGATATATAATTATATATATATAATTTACTTTCTGCTTATATTTATTCTTTTCATTTTTTCTCCCAACCCTTCATTTCTCTGTCCATTTAAACCTGGAAATGATACATGCATCGTTGGCTTGTATCGTGATAAATACTAATAATATAAAATTTATTAGCATTATTTTTTCTGTGATTACTATCGTTAAAAAAAACTCTTTAAAATTTAAATCCCGAATCCTCTACTACTATCTCTAAACAAAGTACCGTATTATTTATATCTATGTTGACTAGGCAAGGTCTCCTTATCGAAGGTTAACAAATCTGCGTTATTACTGATTATGATAACCAGCGCCTTCAGTCAAGCGAAGAGCAGATAATTTTTAAATGATGGAGCAAAATATAAATAAAAAAAATCTATTAAAACAAATCAAGGAATGATATTAAGTCATTACTATAAAATGTGAGATGAATAAATGCAGAAACATTATGCATTAGAATGGTATATTTAAAATGGTCCACAATGCCTTCTATATATTTAAAAGAAGACTGGACATGCGTGTGATTCTATCCTCTCTCCCCCCCCCCTTTGAAAACAGGTTCTTGTAATCACACACTGACATAGTTGAGTATGTTCAAGGTCGCAGTCAGGGCAGTTGTGCAGGATCGTTAAGGCGATGGAAGGCTAACCAAAGGACTTCAGCAAATTATATTTATCTCCTTATTTATTTTATTTTTATTTTTCAAGGAATTAAGAGTATTTTTTAAGTTTATCTTATAAAAAGCAATGACTTGTGTACGTTAATATTATTTCTCAAAGATGTCAGTACGCCATATCTCCATAAATACTTCATAAAAACAATGACTGAACTATGCTTTTGAGAGCATCGCTGATGA